CCCTCCTGATGCTGCGCTCACCATGGGTAGATGGGGTGGCAGCTCCACAGACAAGCGGGGACACCGCGGCTGAGTCATTTCCCTTTGAGACTTGGATCAACCTGGCGCCTGTCGCTGCACGCTTACCTTCCCAGCAGACCACCCGGCTCCTCTGCCCCGGTGCCTACCGGGCTGAGATTCTGTGTTGCAATTCCCGTGGGACGCTGGAAAAGCAGCCCCCAGGGAGAGCGGGGTTTGGCACTGGCAGCGGGCACAGATGCTGCGCAGCTGCGGACGCTGCCGACGGGCTGTGGGGGTCCCCAGGCGGGTCTGCCCCGAGCACGTCCCTCGCCCCTGTAAACAGCGCGAGTGCCTTTCATTGCTCCCTGTGCTTTGAAGCACGTTGTCCCTTCCCAAACCCTCTTAGCTCCCATCAGATCTCCAGTGCGTATCCCCACGGCGCCTGACATCTGCTCCCTCTCCGCATGGCTGCAGCGCTTGCCACAGCTCTCCCCACGCCCACCCACCCCGGGGATCACTGCGGGGGCCAAGGAGATGGGGTCACACCAGGTGGTCTCTGTACAGCCTGTTGTGTGTCGCGTTCTCCCTTCTCCAGGCTGGTTGCCCCATCCAGCCCCCCCAGCAGAGGTGGGTCCCTCCTCAAGCTGAGGGCTCTGGAGCTCATTGGTCCCTGTCCCAGCACCCACAGCATCTCCTGGTCCCGGAGCAGACAAGGGGCTGGAGCGCTGCTCCCTGTCTCTCAGGGCTCGGTTTGGGCTTGGGCACCGGCAGCTCTCAGTCAGTCCCCAGGGCGCGGAGCAGGGTCTCCCTGGAGAGGTGTGATGGCGGGACTGCAGCCCCCGGGCTTGGTGGCTGTCCTTCCAGCCAGCCTTGTGATGTCTCTCTCCTTAACAAGTATCACAGGATTAGTGCTGCTGCTGAGATGTTACTCAAGGAAAAGTAACCGGAGGAGTATTTCTGTTGTCTTCTGGCCTTTATCACTCATTCCTCCTGTCGCCTAGTGATAAGGCTGCATTTCTCATCTTGGTTTTCTGTGTCGGTGCTCTGCTGTCGTGTTTTCTGCCCCTTGCTGGAAGAAGAGCCTTATCTCCAGCTCAGGAGTGGACCTGGCCAGCCCACAGCCCCATGTCCATCAGCCCAGCAGAGCCAGGGGGCCAAGAACCCCCCTTGGAGAGCCTCCAGTGCTTTGACTTGGGGGAGGTTTCTCCCCCAGCAGTCAGTGTTTTACCCTGAACGCAAAGCAAGAAGATTTATATTTTTAATTTGATTCACGCCCTATGAATTAAAGCAGTACTATTCTTGGGATCTGGATCACTTCTGATTCCTTCCAAGGCCTTGGGTCACCTCTGCAGGTCAGCCAGGTGGTGCAAACACCTCTAACGTGGAGGCTTCCTGCTTGTGTTCAGCTCACCCGTATTTATTTCCAGACTTCCTGATCTTTGCTGGGTAGAAATGTCACCAGTCATCTGTTCACGACTCTGGCTGTTCTCTTCTGGTTTCACTGCAAGGTTTTTCCCAGGTGGCATGACCAGAGGGGACAGTAGGCAGGGACATGCATGCTCCAGCACACAGCGATGAACAGGGCCCTCTTCTTGAACCATTACCTATCTGCTGGGCTCACAAAGGGATGTGAACTTTCAAGTCTCATCTTAGGTCCCAAAAGGCAAATGTCAATGTCCCCGACCCCCAAGCAGTGTGGGTAAGGGCTTTCTCCGAGGGCAGAGGTGGCCGGGGCGGCCAAGCTCCTGGTGCCCTGGGCAGGGGTCTTGCAGAGGGGCCATGGCCGTGCACACTGCCCAGGTGGAGGCAGCTGCCCAGCCTGCTGCCCCTGCTCTGCTCACTTGCCAGGGAGATGTGACTCTGCATCCCGTGTCTTGCTGATGGGATGATTGGACTCTGCTTCGGCCAGAGAGACCTGGCCCCAGAGCTCTGTGGCTTTCCCCCGGGGTCTCCGGCACATCTTCCACGCTGGATGAGACTGGCAGCTCCTGTGGCCCATGTGCTCCCCCAGAACAGCTTGGCTGAGCTTTTCCAAGGCCTCCATCTTCCTGCTTGCCCAAAGGCTTGGCACCCTCTGAGTCCTCCTGGCCATGTCGGCAGGGCGCTTTGTTTTTCAGGAAGATGCCTTTTGACTCCTTCGCTTCTGCTGGGGCCTCATCCAGCATCAGGCATGAGCCATGCCCAGTGGGCATCACCCCCATGTTCATGGGGCTGAAGACCATGCCAGAGCTGAGGAGGAACCTTCTGCCTCAGCCTACAGCTGCAGAGTGGGGAACAAGTCCCATTCCCCCTTTTTGCAGAGGAGCTGTTTTAGCCGGGGTTGGGAACGTTACCTGATGACATGAGAAACCCCAGTCACCACCATGGCTTTCCTTAGGACATGTGCCAGGTCAGGGGCATAGCTGGGCATCCTGACACTGACCTGTGGGCATTGTTCCTCTGTACCACTGTGGGATGGTGTTGGACCCAGGGCCCCTCATCCAGTGCCTCGGCAAATGCTTAACCAGGGGTGAGCATGTCCTGGAGCTGGACAAGGCTGGGTTGTCTCCTCTGTCACCTCTCCAGGCAAATCTTGCAACCTCCCGTGCCAGGATAGAAAGTTTCCAGCTCTTCTTAAGAAACCGCCTGTTCCCATCAGGAATGAGCACCATTAGCTAAACCCAGCTGGGGCACATGCAGCTTGTTAGTGATCCCCACCTGCATTGCTCCATCACATTTAACTTCACCAGATTGTCCAAGTATCTTCTAGGTTGCTCACCTGGATTGCCCACACAGACATGATGTCCCCAGACCCTGAGCTCTCCACCAGCTCCTGCTCCTCAAATGCTGGGCTTTGCCTGTCACCCTACCCACATCTCACCCTGTGTGCTAGCAGAACCCAGGGAGCCATGTGTTGGGCACAGTACACCTTCACTTTCCACACATCTGAGAACCCCTCTGGACATCTCATTGCGGCATTGCACCAGGTGACAGGTTTGGTTTTAGTTCCCTCAGGCCCTAAGCTTCATTTTAAAAAATCACTGCTCCTCACAAGGTAGTTTTCCAGACATAAAGTATGGCCTCACCCTTTATCTTTCCATCTCTGCCCTTGCACGTTGCTTGGGTGAACATTGCCTCTTCGTGGACTGGCATTTACTCCTTGCTTTGCTCCTTCTTGGAGCCCCCATGGAGGTCGTGGCAACACAAATAACTTTGCCTTCTTCCTTTCCTGCAGTGGCACACTTGTCCCCCTGTCCCATGGGCTGGCTGCCTTTGTCTCAGCTAGAGCTGGCCTGAGCTGAATGGTGGTGGCCAGTCATCTCCAGGCAAGTCTTCCCAGTGTCACTTCTGAGGTTGGGAGGTGTTTGGTGTTAGAGACTGTGGTTAAACACCTTCCCCAATGCAATGGAGACTATCTTCTCACCAACGGCATCTTCAGATGTCTTGTCCAGGCATGGCCAAATAGAGCAGAAGGACCTCGTGGGCCTTTCTCCTCATAGAATCATAGACTCTTCAAGTTGGAAGGGACCTTTAAATGTTTAAACTCCAAACACCCCGCAGTGAGTAGGGACATCTTCAACTAGATCAGGTTGCTCAGAGCCCCGTCCAACCTGACCTGGGATGTTCCCAGGGATGGAGTCAGTGTTTCACCACCCTCATGGTGAAAAATGTCTTCCTTATAGCTAATCTAAATCTACCCTCTTTTAGTTTAAAACCATCACCCCTTGTCCTATTGCTACAGGCCCTGCTAAAAAGTCTGTCCTCATCTTTCTTATCAGCCCCTTTCGGTCCTGGCAGGCTGCAGCTGGAGGCTCATCCATTGTCCTCCCTTAGCTCACTGTCCTTATAACAGGTCAATGCTTATATCAGGGTGTCTTTTTCCCACACTTGGTTAGATTTTCTGTCAAATCTCCTTTGCATAGGTTTATTTTTTTTTTAATCATAATGTAAGGACAGGGGAGTGGCTGCCCTGCGCCAGGCCATGGGGCCACAGCTGCTAGAAGAGCTGGAGAAAGGACATACATGCACCCTGGGCTGTGCTCACAGACCTGCCTTTAGAGAATGGGTCCTTGTGCATGGAAGTCCTTGATGGGCTTCAGCCAGTCATGCACTGGTCTATCCACGCTTTCATCCCAGCTTTCAGGAGGTTTTTTCCTTTGGCAGCATATGGCAAGGAGCTCTGCAGGTTCATTTTGACTTTATCAAGCAGAAGAATCCTCTTTTTATTTGGTTTCTCATGTCCTTTGCCAGCACCTGGCCCTTAAGGACCACATTTACAATACTCTCTCCAGTATTTGCAGCAGCTTCTCTGATGCACCTTCTGGGATGGGTTGGAGGCTGAAGATCATGAGATGAGACCATGTCCATTGGGTAGGACTAACTGTGAAGGCCCCAAAGCACCATCCCTTTTCCCTGCCATTCACCTCCGGCTCAACCACCTTCTCGCACACACTGTCCCCCACCGCCCTTCTCAGGACCCCCAAGCCTGGAAGGGCCTTGAGGACACTGAGCAGCACAGAGATGCACAGGTACAGCCTGTTAGCAGGGAAGCTCTGGTGATGAGTGAAATGTTCCATGAGTCTGGACACTTTGAAGAAGCGTTTCTGGCAAAGAGCAAGCACCATCCCCTCCCTGGGCATCCTCATCTGCCAGGGAGTTTTGAGCAATAATTATGTTGGCAGAACCTGGCTGGGAGAGGGTACAGAGGAGCAGAGCACTGCCTGCGGGTTGCACGGGCTGTGGGCACTGCCGTGTCCCCGTCACGGTGATGGGTGCAACTGCTCACCCCTGCAAGCTGCTGTGGTGGGGAGATGCTCTGTATCCTGGTGGCTTGTGTCTGGGCTTGGTGTCCCAGGAGGGAATTTCCTTCTCTACATCCTCCTCCCAGCTCAGCAGCCCTGTCCCCGGGGAGCCAATGGCCGGGTGGCCCCGCGCATTAGCCTGACCTGTCATCCCGTTAATTACCTTCTGGCTAATCCCGCCTGAGCCGGGCTGGGGCGAGCAGGGCTCAGCTGCCAACCATGGCTGCGCACCCCCCTCTGCCCCGCAACCTCCGCTGGAGCTTGGTGGCCTTCAGCAGCTCCCTCTTCACCAACAACAAGACGCGGGACAGCGGCGCTGCCCACACCTACCACCCAGGTACGGGCAGCAGGGCTGGGGGCAGAAAGAAGGGTTTTGGGGGGGTTGCTGTTGCTTCATCACTGCGAGCCTGCTCAGCACATCACCAAAGCACCCGGGTGGCTCTGAGCACCCAAAGGGTCTCTGCACCCACCCACCCATGAGGGAGAGCAAAAATCAGTGCATTTGCTGCAAACAGCCCTTCCTGCTACCCAGCCGCCCCCGGGCGTGGCGGGGGCCGTAGCGCCCCTCTGCGAGCTGCAGGGCAGGGGCTTCCTCTGGGTGGCGAGACCCTGGGGGTGCTGGGCAGGCCTGCCCACCCCTGCCTGCCCACCCTGCCTAGCCCACGAGCTGCTGGCCAGCCTGCCCCTCCAGATGATGCTCTACTTCAACGTCTACTACTTCCCAGTCTGGTGCCTGGCTGAGGGGATGATGCTGCAGCTGAAGGTACCGTCCCGTGGGGCACGTGGTGGGGGGTGAGCCTGCTCCTGCCCAACCTCCCTGGGCACGCAGGGGCCACACTGAGCCAGGGAGAGAGGAGCCTCTTCAAAATTAATGGGTCCCCACCCACATGAGCAAAATGCCCTGTCCTCCACCTGACAAGATGACTTGCCTCTGGCTCCCACAATGGGAATCGTGAGAACAACCACAGAACTCTCCAGGCAGGGAAGGTTAAACTGGGAGGGCAGAGTGGGCAGGGCTGGGCACCAGCAGGGCTGGGAGCTGGCACAGCGTGAAGAGCTGGGCCCGGGGCTGGCTGGGATGAAGCTCTGCCCCCCGTTACAGTACCACCTGCTGCCTCAGTACTACCAGTTCCTGCTGGTCGCTGCCTTCCTCATCCTCTCGCTGGCTGAGGGCACCCGCCTCTACCTGGGCTACGTGGGGAACCTGCAGGAGAAGGTAAGTGCTGTCTCTGTCCTGACTGCAAGTCCCCTGTGCCCAGCGAGGGACAGCCCTGCCAGGGAAGCGGTGGCTATGCTGGATGTCCCGTCACTCAGCACCCGAGTGCCTGTCGTTGCCTGTTCCTCCCAGAGTCCTGCCTGCAGCTGTCCTGGGATGGAGTTGCAGGTGCAGGCCGGACCTGGGGGCAGGGGGGGGCAGGGCAGGGGACGAAGGGCACCCACTCACTCTCCTGCTGCCTCTCGCCCTGTGCTGTGGGTGCGACGCTGGGCGCAGCTCCACGCAGCTGGGACGTTGCTGGTACCTGGGTGCCAAGGCCAGCAGTGTGGCCGACGCAGGGATCTCCTGGGGCAGAGAGAGTGACCCACCCCACCAATGGCCCTCTGCTCCCACAGGTGCCCGAGCTGGCCGGGTTCCTCCTCCTCTCCTTCCCGATCCAGCTCCTTTTTTCCTGCTGACGGACAGCCACATCATCCGCCTGCCACTGGAGATGGCCGTGCACAGCCTTTTCCTGGCCTTCCTCATCGCCGAGATTGCAGCTGCCTTCCTTGCGCTGAAGACCATGACCAAGCAGCTAGCGGCACAATTCTACCTGCAGCAGTTCAAGGAGGGCAGCAGGGGACAGCCAGGGCAGGGGGACATGGTGGGGCAGGCAGCTGGGGAGGGGTGATGCTGCAGGACCCTTCCATCCCATGCAGTCAGTAGCAGCAGGGAGCATTAAACAGTGCTCAGACCCCAACTGTGCCTCCACACTGTTTTTGTGCAGCTTGTGGGGTTCCCAGAGCACCCCACAGGCACAGGCCCACCTTCGGGGGAGGTGGGAGCACAGGGTTCAGCACCTCCAAAATGCTCCGGCTCACCTCACTGAGCCCTGGCAGAAGCCCCTGCACCTCCCAGCAAGCAACTACCAGCCCAGGGTTGCACCCTTAAACCCTCCCCGAGTGCAGCCAAACTGGGGCAGAGGGGTCAGCTCTGCTATTCCCAGGGGGGCTCCCAAGGATCGGGGTGGCTCCTGTGAAGCCATCCCAGCTGGAAGCATGCAGGGTGACACGAGGTGCAAGAGTGGCACCACAAAATCTTCACAGCCAACAGACAGAGCAGAGCCACCTCCCGCTTTCTGAATAGCTTTATTTCATTGCACCCCTGTTTTTCAGAGGAAATCAAGGCCCACGGCCATCCGGAGCATGAAGGAGTGCAAAGTGCTTTAAGCCTGTTGTGCTGAGTAAGCAAGCTCTGGTTCCCACAGCAGCTCCGCAGCACGGCTCTGCTCAGTCACGGGCCGGTCAGTGCTGCAAGCTGCACATGGGAGGGTTTTGTGCTCCAGGAGCAAAGAACTTCTGCTGATGCAAAGGTTTCTCCAGGAAAGGCAGACCCTAACCCCAGCAGCACACACTTGGGCCAGGAGAACTGGGCCACCTCCACCTGGGCCACAGCCGTGCCCCCATCGCGTCTACCTGGAGGTTGCTCCGGAGCGAAGGGTCCTTGTGGAGGAGCATTCACAATGTCCCTAAGCGGCAGCCTCGGTCTTACCTTTAGGGGGTTTTGCCTGCAAAATGAACAGAGGCCTCTTAGTATACTAGAGACAAGGGGACAGCCCAGGCAGGTGGTCCTCTGCTGATGTGCTCACTCCCATGAGATCAGATTCACTGTTTGAAACCCCCGCTCCAGTTGTGATTTGACAGCAGGCATTAGGAACAACTTTTTTATCCACCCAGTAGGATGGTGCAGCCCTGGGGCAGTTCACCAGGAGCTGGAGGATTTCCATCTTCAGAGGCTTCTAAGACTTGGCCAGATAAAGCCAAAGATGACCTGAGCTAGGGCTGGCAGCTCTCCCACTGTGTGGGGCCTCCTGATTCCCCAGGGCTGGACAGTGCCAAAGCAAGAGTCACACATGGCAAGAAAGCCTGTCACTGAACTGCAGCGTCAGCACCGACACAGAAAAGCTGCCCTCTCTCCATGTACAGTTTGGCCAAATTCGGTTCAGAAGAGGGCGAATGAGTGTGGAGCTGGGTCAGGTTTCTACAGTAAGGTCCCCTTGCTGTCTGTTGTGGTCATGGTACAGTTTTCCCTGCTGTCTGTGCACCAGCTGGGTCCCTCTCTTCCTCTCCTGGAAGAGGACAATGCCTGTTGTCATTAAACTTGTAAGAATTTAATCTCTGTCAGGTTCAGTTCAGACCAGCCACTGAAGCACCAAGGCCAAGAGTCAAAGACTAAGAACTGCTCCACTGGGATTGGATCAGGGAAAGATCTTGTGAATTATGTTTTAATCAAGTGGCAGAAAAAGAGTTAAATCTGCTTGCGAAATGTCACTCCAACCTCATCTTTCTGAAGTGTCCCCATCCTTACCTCCTCGAACTTCTCCTTCCAATAGAAGTCAGCTTTCGCATCCAGGTAGAGCAGAACCAGGTCACAGACCACCGTGGCCTGGAGACAGACAAATGCAGCAGGGTGGTCAGCACTGAAACTTCCTGCGGGAGTGCCAGGCCCTCTGCCCTGGCTCCCACCAAGCCCTGCAGCTGGCTGCAGGCCAAACTCCAGCACCTGGCCAGTGCTGGGGGCAGCGAGCCTGACCTGCCTCCGGCCCAGGCCACCCAGGCAGCTACACCAGGTCCTCTTTGACCTAACCTGCTCCCATTAGCTGCACAGGAGGTTAGAGATGATCATCTGGGCTGCACGGACGCAGGGTGAGGGCTGGTCCAGCAGAGAGCCGCCATCCAGCCACATAAGGGACTGGGATGAGCACGTCTGGGAGGAGAGGGGGCAGGTGTGGGAGTCCCAGCTCCCCGTTACTCTGCTGAAAGGGAAGAGCCACAGAAGTGCTCCACAAGGGGCTGCTCCATCTCAATGACCACAACGCCATGTCCATGCTGGAGCCAGACAGTGGCTCCCTTTAGAGCCAGGGGAGAAATGCAGAGAGGAGGTGCTCTCTCCTGCTGGCCAAGACAGCTGGAACAGACCAGCCAGCAACACCTCAGCGATGCACCTTCCCAGGGTCAACACAAACACCCAGCCTCCACGAGATGTGCCCCTGACAGTGCTCAGGATCCTTGATCCAGCAGTGTCATTACTGCTAAAGATCACAAACGGGAAAATGGGAGCTAACACTCTGACAGACAACCTCCTCTCCTGGGCTGGCAAGGGAAACAACGGATGAGTGGCAAATCCCAACCCGTGGACTGGAGGAAAAGAGTGCATCTGGAGTACTCACGGCACCAAAGAACGCGATGCCAGTGGCGAAGCTCACAGCAGCCGGAATTATGCTGAACTTCCCAGCCTGGTGAGAACAGCAGGTGGAGAGTGGTGAGAGGGCTGTGGGACAAGCCCCGCTGGGCAGCGTGCTTAAAGCCAGGGAGGTGCTGGAGGAAACCAGGGTCATTTCTCCATGCCCAGCTGTAGGAACCTGACTGCTATTGCCTTGACTCAAAACCCCTTCGGCTGTCAAAAGAAGGGATTGAGGCAGCTTGTGACTCAGTGGCAGCAGTGGTTACTGTGACCCACCTACTCCTGCAGGCACAGCAGGAGCCTCTCTCTTGCTGCAGGACCTCAGCAGCTGCCACCCACAGAACTACATTCCGGCAAACAGCAAACATGGCCCTGATGTGATGTGTCCCCCTCTGCTCAAATCAACCTGGTATCTCTGAGGAAAGAGATTTTTGGGTTCCTGTCTCTCTCCCGGCTACTCTCTCCTGCCCCACACCTCCCAACCTGGTCTCACTGCACCCAGAAGTGGTGCACCCTGTCCTGCACAGCGTGCTTCACCCTCTTCAGGCAAAAAGGCCACTGCTAAGCACAACAGACCAGCTGTGGACATCTCTCAGGATGGCAAGTCCTCTCAGCATAGGCACCATCTTGCAGTTGAATATTGAGTTTGTCAGTGATGCTGCACAGAGTAGCGTCAGCCACGATCATTCCCATGCCTTTTCTCCCTGAGGGTACAATTAATCAAGAAGGGATTAATTGTCCAGGTTCAGAAAAGTTCAGGTTGATCTTTGCCAAGGTGCTCCCACCATGAGACATTCAGATGCCCACAGGCCCTCTGCCCCAACAAGCCCACCTTGCCTACAGAGCCCAGCTCTTCACAATACCCAGGTCAGACCTTCAGCAAGGAAAATCTCCCTGCTTATTAGTGCATTACCAAGAAGTTTCTCTTCAAATGGGAGGGACCATTTTTTCTTGATTTGCTTGGAAAACTCTGGAAAGAGGTGAAGAGCTCACCAGGGTGGGGAAAAGCAATGCCAGCAGGAAGCCATGGGGCTTGCTGCAGGACAGAGCAGCAGGCAGTGGTGCATGCAGGCAGCCCCAGTGACAAGGCTGCCAGGACCATGCACGTGGGGTCTGCAGAGGAGATGGTACCTGGCCATGCACAGAGATGTCAAAGCGGATGCCGTAGAGCTTCAGTAGGTTCCGGTAGAGCCGCCGCTGGGAGTCCCAGTAGTAGGAGGCAGTTCTGCGGGAGACATTGGACATGGCTCAGAAAGCCACAGCAGCTCTGCACAGGTAGTGAGGGAAGAGGGCTGCCAGTGCTGTATGATTGCTGGGGCTACCACATGCCTCTGCAGACCTTATGTCCTCCAGCAGGCAGGGACATGGGCAATGCACATGGTGTCATGACTCACTAGCTTGGCATGAGCAGCAGGGCATCAGTGTCAGCTCAGCACCCAGCCCAGGGTCACTGGGAGCATGCAGCTCCCAGTGCATCCAGTTCAGGGTCAGCAGGGGCATGGACAGCCACATGTCCCTGCCCTCAGGCAGGTAAATGCCTTGTACAGCTCCAAACAGAGCGGAGCTACAAGGTGCGGGAACTACCATGGCACCCCAATACTGACAGACCCTGCCACTGGGTTACCACGTCCCATTGCCTCTGCTGCTCCTTTCAGAGCATCCATAAGGAAAACTGAGACCTCAAATGATTGCCGTGTGCTCATCCCACAGCCCCCTGCAGCCACTGTCCCAGCATCCTCACCTGAAATTGTACCTCCGGTCCTGCAGGCTGAAGGAGTACTGTGGCTGGCACTGGGCAGCAGGGTGATCCAGGTCGCAGTCCCACTCAATGCGGACTCCAATGCTCCCCCCCTGCAAAACACATTTTTATTCCAGGAGAAGCACGGGATCAGAGATTTGCTGAGTTTACTTTTCAGATGTTCACAGATCACACAGAGAGATTACACCATTCCCTTAGCATTTTGGGGGTCACTCCTGTCCCCTGCCCACACCCTTGGGGAATTTGGAGTCATCTTCCATACTTTAAAAGGAAAAGAAAATACCAGCAGTGCGAGGTCCCCAAAGGTCTCTCCAGCTGCCTCCACCATGTCACGGACACGGAAGATGGGGCAGGAGGGGCTGAAGAACGGATCGTACGTGCAGCTCTTGAAATAGGCAGGGTCATTGGTTTGCAAAGTATTGCACCTGAGACAGGAGAAAGGGAGCTGTCACGGGTGGAGTGGGGTGCGGGAGGTCAGGGAGCCCTGCTGCAGTGCTGGAAAGGAGACCTTCCTGCTGGAGTGGGACCACTAATGTTCCTGCTTCAGTGGGAGATAGTCATTGCCTCTCCTAAAGCCACACTCAGAGAGAGGGTGGAGGGAAACCAGCCCAGAGGAATCACATGTGGAGTTACCACCCTTTACAGCACCTGCCATGGTCCTTCTCCTCCTCTCCTCCACCTCTACCTTCGTGCTTCTCCTTTCTTCCCCAGCACCTAGCTCCCACCACTGTGAGATGTAATGACCCAGCTTGAGTTACCGCTCCAGGGTTGATAGCGGGGGCAGTTCAGCTGCCCCAAGCCATGCCTCCTGCCAGAATAAGGCACCACAGTCAGCGTGCCTGGGGCTGTGGGGCCAGTGCAGCCCTTTTGCAGGGGCTAAAATGCAAAAGTATACGGGGTAAAATGAGACCTTGGGAATGAATGGCCTTGTCATGCTCCATTTGCAGTACTGTAGACAGGCTGGAGCACAGCAGCCCCTCTATCTGGGCGGTCCCCATCCCGTTATTCTTATATCTGCAAACACATGTGCCGCCAAAGCGACTGGCGCTCTCCCGAAGACGCCGTCCTGAACCGTAACTGCCTGAGCCACTGCCTTCCCTGGATGGCACATGGCTTCTTGGATGCCTCGGCTGCTGAGGCCCTAGGCAGACAAGCTCAGCGCAGAGCCTGGACTAAGTTGCATGCACAGCCCTGGCTGAAGGAGCGTCATACTTACTTGGAGAAGTTAAATTTGGTGAAGTGGATGGTATTTTTTATAAAAAGAGTGAAATTCTCTGCCTCAGCCAGAAGAGGTTTCCTAGAAAACAATGACCAACGAACTCAAATTTCGCACAGCAGCCAAGGCACATCCCCACTCCCCTCGCTCTGTGGTCTATTCCACAATCACAGGACTTTGGCTACAACAGACAGTTGCAAGAAACGCTCTTGTGTGAAGTTCTCTGGGCTTAAGTGACCGGTAGATCAAAGATCTCCCTGAACCTGGCTGCGCCCCAGGCAAGTATGATCAGGCCCCCAGTTACAGAGAGCACAGAGGGAAACAACCGAAGCTCTCAACACCTGCTGTCTCCTCACCCTGTGCTTTACCTGGGCAGAGTGTTATTCTCCACAGGACACCAGCCATAGATCTCACAGGTGGAATGGGTGGTGTTGAACATCACACATTTCCCAGTTTTTATCCCTGGAAATGAGACAATGTATATCGTTTACTATTGCTTTTTGTTGAAACGTCTTCTCTGCAGCTCCCGCCTGGGATAACCCCCTGGCCACTGGCTTGTTCTGGCCTTCTCAAAACCTGAGCCACAAAGACGACCCTGGGATCATCTTCAGTGTTTTCCCCACCCAAAAACTTACCTGTGAAACCTCCCCTCGAGGCCGAATGACAGGGACAGTTTTACAAAGACAAGAAGCTGCTTGCTGCTGTCAGCACCCGTCTGTCCAGCACAGCCTCTCCTGGCCTGTGGCTCCTGAAGCCACCCGCTCCCCGGGTGGTAAAACAAGGAGCTGGGGCAATCCTGCACACAAAGCTTTGGCAACCAACCTCCTAGAGCTGCAATATCCTTTTCCAACTGAACTCACATGAGCTGCTAATATTAATCAGTAAGAAATAAAGGCCAGGTTTTATTACAAAGGAAAACCTGCCAATCACACAGCACAGTGGTTTCATTTCCAGCAGCCAACACCAGAAACAAAGTGCGCCTGTATTTGCTGTGACAGCGCCCAGTGCCCCCAGCACCTGCCCGTCCGGCCGTAGCAGGTCACTGTAAGATTTTGCCAAGAATAAATGACTGGAGTATACTTCTGTGCCCAGTTACAAAAAAGCACTGGACTTGGGCGATCAGGCACCTTTGTGGATCTGTTCGCTACCAAACATGAGGATTAAATGATTTTATGGGTTTTTTTAGCAAAACACCCAGTACCGTTGCCACGAACCACTGGGTTTCCCACGGGACAGTCTGCATCTTCTGTGCACGTCGCATCAAGAACAGAGGGGCTCTGAGAGACAGAGAGAAGCGCCGTTACTGCGTTGCGCAGCCGCCTGAGGCCACGTGGTCACTCACCCACATTTCTGCATGGCTGCTCCCGTTTCTCCAAGCACATCCCAAACATTTATAGAAGACATCCACCAAGTCTAGAACCTGAGGCAGAGGAAGCCTCAGGAGCTAGCTCAGACATTTCGGCTAGGACTGGGAACAAGCACAGTTGGGTTCAGGAGGGCCTTAATGGCAGAGTCCACTAGGCACCTTGTAAAGCACCACCACAGTTCCCCTGAGGAAGAGCCAAAGAAACCCTAAATACAGCATAACACAAGTTTTACAAGAGACACGGAAAGCTTCACCCTCACTCTGGACCCACCTGATGGCCAGGAGCAGCAAAAAGCTCCTATTCAAACAGAGATGACAGCAGCTGGGTGAATACGAGTAATACCCTCCTCCAGCTACTCACAGTAGGAGTCACCAGCCCATCAGAAACCCACCTCCACAAGCCCAGAGGGGCACAGAGGTCCCTGGGCAGGCGAGGAAACCCCTGCCTGGAGTCTGAAGAGGGGGTGGTCTGTCCAGGCCCTCCCAGCACAGCCTCAGCCCCTTGTTTTGGGTATGAAACCCACCATAATGAGCCAAGAGGAGCAGCTCTGAAGCAGCTTTTGGCTGGGTGAAGGGATCACTGCCTAGGGGTATGGTAATCATTATGGGAGGCAGGAAAAGAAGATTTAGGGATTGCACAGGACATCTAGGGGATGGGATGTTTAGGGGAGGAAAAGGCACGGAAAAGGAGGCATCTAGGTGATCTGAGAAGGAACAAACATTGGAAAAATAGAGGGATAAAAGGATGCAAAGGACTGGTTGCACCTACAGAGCTGTCTGGTCACTATGCTGGTCTGTCCATGCCCTGCACCCCATCAGCACAGTCTGTCCTGTCTTCGGACTAAACTCCATTTCTAACTATTTTCCTGGGCAAGGGGCTCTATCCTGTACGCAGGTTGTGTGTATGGGGGTCTGAGCGCTAGCAGCTGGAGTGGGACCACTGGTCATCACAGGGGCCCATGTGCCGGCTACTGCGAGGGCAGGGGTGCAGCAAGAACGTGCGATTCACAGCAAATGCTGGGCCGGACAAGCCAGGGAGGTGGCCTGGGAGCAAAGCAAAGGGTACCTAAGGACAAGCCTACGGGACTACCAGAGGGACCAGGGAGTCCTGCCCAAGTGCTGGAGATGGGTGGCTTCCGGATTCATGCCCCTCACCCCCACTGATGGTACACTCATAGTATGCAGCACTCGCCTACAATGCTGTAATAAGCCCTTATGAGAGCACTTCGTCATCCTGGATCCAAATCAGATGTCAAGGATTTAGCCTCCAGAAGGACCCAGACAACAGATATTTGCAGATTCGTGTATCAGTCCTTTCCCAAGTCCAGATAACAAGACCCATGACAAGTGCCACTTGGGACACAGACACTTCCGGGTGTTCAGGGCATGCAAACTGCAAAGCTTGGGAGAAATTCAGGTATTGAGGTCTGTGGTGGTGTTGCAGAAAACCTAAAACCAGTCCAAGAAGGTTTCAACCTCCCCTACCACCTTTTAGTGGAAATGAGCCTTGAAGAAAAAAATCTGTCGGTGCTGGCATTCCCCACAGGCATGATCCAAACCAGGTAACATGTGTCACAAGTGCATTGTGAAAGAACCAAAGAGATATAGACTCAGTTAAAAGCCCTCATGGGGCTCTGGATCTGTGTTCCTAAAGCTCTCTAAACCATTGCTGCATCTTGGTTGTGTAAGGGTCTAAAAGCTTGGGAACATTAGGAGTAACAAATTTTCTAGGAACCTATCCAATAACTGCAGGTTTGGGGCATGACAGGAATATGAGCACACCAGCCTTTAGAACAGGTTTCTTGACAAGCAGGTGAACTACTACATGTTTTTAGAAGACATCCCCCAAAGTGCTCCCAGCAGAGCTCAAACACTGCTCGGAGTTTGTAGCATTTGTGTTCCTGGGACAGGGGTGATTTCACACAGGGGCAGCAAAGAGATGCTTGTCTTGACAGCAGAGATCTGTGCATAAGCACTAGGAACTTCCAGGCTAAAAGGTCTATATTTACTTTTTGTAGTCGCAAATATGTGGGTAGAGAATTACTTTATTCTTAATCTTATTGGAAACAATTGCCGATTTCCAGCCCTCAACAGCTATGCAGCCACGTGCCAGTGGCCAGGAAGCAAAATGAACCTTTTTGGAGAGCAAACCACTAGCAGCATCACATGTGAGCAAAGAAGGATGAGGCTTCTCCCAAAACCTAACACCCTCTCAACCCCTTATGACACGGTCCTGTGTTGCTTGGGGTGGGACCAGAGCTCCTCACATGCACATCTATCAGCAGCATCTGAACCTGTAAGAGCTGCAGCACAGCTGGATGTGCTAGAGGCCCTGATTTAAGTGAAATGGTCCCTTAGCCCCAGAGCTTGCATCTTGACAGAGTGGATGCACTGACTGATGCCTTCTGGCTCTAAGTCTATTTTGATCATCTTCATTAACCTTCAGAGTGCCTCACAAATAGAGGCAGGGGTTTCCAACCATTCAAAGTATTCGAGATCAACACTGAAAGGTCTCCCTAAGAGATAAGTCACAGCTCAGCCACAGATTTGAGCTCAACACAGGCATCAGCTGCTAGATCCATCTGTCCTGTGTTCAGGTGCCGCCTCTGGCCCCAGCCAGACTTTTGTCTATCCTGCCAGCACTGAATGCTTTGGTAATTGAGAATATTCAGGACTTCCTGCAAAGTCAAAAGCTGTCATTGCTAAATCCTCAAAGCTTTCTAAACACGAAAGTCAACTACAGCCCTAAAGCCAGGAACTGAGAAACTACTGGAGAGCAGCACAGGGCTAAGGCTGCGACGGCACCCAGACACACCGCGGCACTGTAATGGGATGTGTCCTTGACTTGCATGCTGCAAAAATAAGCATCGAGATGCCCATGATGGCCTGAGAGCAAGCCCTGAAATGCTCTATGGCACGTGTCTTCTCCTGGAGATATTCCTGCAGCTATCAGTACTTTAGGAGTTCTCAACATTTTAAAGAGGGATCGTTAGTACTGTTTTCCCCAACCCAAAACTGGGGATGCTCCTCCTCTCCCGCAGCCTGTGGGCTGCATTTGGAGAGCAGCCCAGCCCAGCAGCCTGCAGCACAGGGCAAGCTGGGAAGCAGGATCAGGCTGGGCACGGCACAGCAGGCCACAGCAAAAGCCGAAGGGACCATTAGGACAAACAGTGCTTGGCTCTGGCACAAGGTGCCAGCAGTGACTTAGCTTAAAAGACATTTGCTCCTATCTGCCACGCAGGGTCCAGCTTGGGAGAGTTCAGTTGAGGAGCTGGCCTGAATCCAGCCTTAAAGCAAAGATTTCCCCCAGAGAACATATACCACTAAGTGTTGGTTGACTGGGAAGCCACCTAGACATTGTGCTCTCTTCCTCCTAAAAATAGGACACTAAGATGGAGAGGATACTAGTCCTGCAGCAGAGTTATAAAGGGAACATGACACAGGTATCCACTGAGTATGTGTAAAAGCATCAGGAAAAATGGCAGAACAGAGGTAAAAGAATGGAGCAGCAAGTCAAGAAACCAAGAATATATGTCAGATTCAAGAAGGAACACAAGTAACAGAGGTATTAGCTGGGGATGGCAGTGCTGATGCCAGCTGCGCTGCAGAGATGGAATATGAATGGGGCAACACATCTCAGCCTCCCCAGAGCGGCCCTTGTCCAAAGGCAGCAGAAAGCCTGTGAAGGTCATACAGTGACACGACCCCTCAAGAAGCACAGAGAGCTGGTGAGGCCCCAACAGACCTTGTCCCTCACCCTGGTCACCAGAAGTGATTCTGGCAAGACTGCTTTGCATACACATCTTGGTTCATGCAGGTATGACAGAGCAAATACAAATGAGCAAGTAAGATCTATAAAGCAACTAGAACGAAGGGAATCAGTTTGGAATAAAAATCCATTTTTCCCTTCTATCTGGTCTTGCACTGGGTTCTGCTGAGCTCCCGTACAGCTACAGAGCAGCAGCACCCGCTGGCTTTACGAACCTAACCCCGCTGCAGCGCTGGGCGAAGAGCAGCGCAGCTCACGTACCTCGGGACAGGCGCCCTGGGCTTGCTTTGCTGTAGCGATGAAGTTGGTCACCAGGAAAAGCACGTTTTCTCCCTAGGAAGCAAGGAGGTGCGGGGGCCCCCCCCCGCCACACTCGGCAGCAGCAGAGCAAGCAACGAGTTTTCTTTTTCTGGCTTTGTGATTTACAACGCTAACGCCGCCTTCCCTTTCCCGCAGCGTTCTACCGCAGGTTTTGCCCACCAGCTCCCTCC